AAATTAATCAAAACTTAACTTTCATTCTACTCAAACTCAAACAGAAGCGTTTTCGCTTTATTTGGAAAAAAAAAAACCAGGTGGTAATGATTTATAGCATCAAGCGACGTTATTGATATTTTATGCATTAAAATATAGTAAACGACATAATTCTCAAGGAATGTGATATTCAAATATATATCATTAAAAATATTAAATCAAAGTTAATTGAAAAATCGTGTGACCATTAATTAATACTTTAAATGGACCGGTCTAATTATTGTGGGGTCAGGGATTTATATATTTTTTATATTATACTATTATTGTGCGCAAATGATTTACTACCTATATTGAACATTTATGATATAAAAAATTTTATGGTTCCTGACCCGACCCGCCTATAGAGTGATAATTATTTTTTCAAATTATATACCCCCCCCCCCCACTACTTTTTCTCTTACCTCAGACAAGGTCCAACCTATTAAGACCAAAAATTAATACTATTATTTCGGTCAAAAGATATTTCAATTATTGCTATTTTCTAAAATATTCCTGAACCCCCCCCCCCCCCCACCTAGGGTTCATACATTAAGAAGGCGATGCTGATCTTTAATGGAACAGATCTGTATATTAGCCATCAACTGATATCCATAATGGACATAACTACTTTCATAGAGCCCAAAAAAATAACTCTTTAAAATAATAAAATTCAAAATAAATAAAGCGAAACGAGTATGAAATGCGTGATTAAATAAGCTTTCTCATATCACCGTTAAAACGAGATAATTCATTTAAAATAGAAAATATAAGGGTGTTCATTTCACATAATTTTTGAATTTACTTCTGCTTCTTTGAACCAAATAATGGTGGGGTGGGTTACCTTCAACCTTATGTTTATAAGACGGATTCTCTTTCGGGGATAGATAAGGGTTTTAGCAAATCAACGAAAGATGGCGCACTATTTTCTTTGAGATTATCTGAGAAATACAAGAAACAAAATTAGTTGTAAATATTCAGAATTCATACAGTCATTGATTAATTAGTAAATCTCACAGACGCAGTGCTAACTATCATATATAAAGAATTTGACGTGTATTTAGAAATTGTAATAAATAATAAATTATATATAGGCAAAATCATTTTTTGAGATGGTTATTTATATCAGCCTAAAAATTTATGTAATTTTCAATATAAAAGTATAATAATTAATTTGAATAATTTTAAATTCAATTAATAAGACTATTTTCCTATAGAAATTATATTTATATGATTAAATAATTTATAAAATTATTACTCCTTTTGTTATTTTTTAATTATTTTTGCAAAGAAAATAATTTTATATGGATGAGTTTTAATTTAATCGACAATATGTTTCATTAAATCATCACAACACTGTAGAATATATTTAAGTTGTAAAAATAACACTTTGCCGGCAAAAAACACATTGACGCTAACACACATATATAAAATTTTTGAATATTTATTATTAAATTTTAAGGAATTTTTATTAAGAGTTTCAAAGAATAATTGTTCTATTTTGCATATTTTTAGTACTCAAATATTTTAAAATATTTGTTAATTAATTTTAACTACGAATTTTCTACCCGAATTTTAATTAATATTATCATCAAACAATGTCTAAAGATACCTAAGTTACCTAAATTTTAGGAATCAATATGTTATTTTATTCATTTAAAAAAAAATATGGGGATAAATATGTGGTTCGTTCGAGTCATTACTATTAAATAAAATTTTTTCTAGTGTCATAATTTAAAGATTGAATTTTAAAAAAAGGTTCTACTTTTATCGGGCAAAAAAAAATACTAAATAAGCTTGGTTTTGGCATTCTTGAACAAATGAATTAAATTGGCGAAAAATAATTTTTCGTAACTAATTCTATTTATTTAGGATAGTGTTGTTACTCTATTTGAGCCGATTTTTAAAAATGGCTAACTCAATATTTTAGCCAGAAAAATATTGTCTAAGCCTTGAGATTTCGTTAATTGATGTGCGGGGAGGGTAGGTGGGTTAAGAAATTTAAACAATGGGCGGATGGGTTAAAAAAATTTTGAAACATTTAAGTAAATATCAATAAAAAATTGTTCCTTATGAAATTTTTTTTGGATATTAAATAATTGAAATATCCTTTTTTGGTGTCATAAAAAACTTTTTTCTTAAAAAAAAATAAACTTTTTTGTATATTTAAAACTACTTTGAAACAACAAGAAAGAGTTTTGCCAAATCAAGATTAGCAATAATAATATTGGCAATTCCTGCGACTAATGCTTCTTCTGAATGAGGATTTAGCATTGCTGGAAGGTACTTAGAACAAAGAAAAACGTGTTAGAATCCAGAAAATGTCGATTAATTATTATTTTTGCATTATTAATTACATATAATATCAATTTTATATTTATAATATTTTCATAAATATATCAAATAAATTATCCATAATTTATATTGAATATTTTTTTTATGCTTAATATGGTAATTTCCTAAAATCATTTTGTAGAGGTGTAATGCTGAAATTTTTTTTTTTTATTAGACGCTTAAAAAATTGAAAGAATGGCCATAATTAAATTTTATAATAGCGGACTTGGGTTAAAAATTTTTTTTATAAATAATGGGTGCGCTTAAAAATTTTTAGACTAATGGGCTGGCGGGCAAGCGGGTAAGGAATTTTAGAGTAATGGGCAGGCTGGCAGGTATATTTTTTGAGAACTATGACCGGGCTGGGCAATGAAAGGCTTCAATTGTTTGTAGAGTGAATGTGTTTTTGCCGGCAAATGTTTTATTTTTTTTAAACTTTAAATCATTTTCCTTTCGCGCCCGGAATACTTCTCATGGACAAAATATATTTGTACTTTGATATAATAAAATAATGATTTTGACATTTTGATAGATAATATAATAATGATATTGACAGGTTAATGATAAAATACGATAAATATTGTTTTATAAATAAATATCTCTAAGTACCAACCATTAGTTTCTTTAAATATAAAAATTAATTGATTACAAATTTAGATGACAAATGATCTCGCTGGGCGCGAAAGGGTTAAGCGCGTTCTGTAATAGTTAAAAATATGATGCTACCGGAAAAGTTGTATTATACCTCTATGTATTTTAAAAAAAATTGCCCTCAACCGTTAAGTCAATTTAAAATTTATACACATAATTTATGGAAAAAAATAATATAAATTATATTAAGTTGTAAAGTTTATGCTTAAAATTGGCTGAAATTCAAAGGGTAAGTATTCTAAACATGATGAAATATATTTCCTGTAAAATTAGATTTTTAAATTTAAAAAAAAAAAAGCGCTCAAGAAATGATTTAAAGTTGGAAAAAAATACATTGACACTAACAAACAACCGTAAAACCTTTCAAGTTTGTCATATTTTGCTGAAAACCCATTTTTTATCCAAAAAATTATACAAAATTACCCTCTAGTTTATTTTACTTTTAGCAAAATATATTAAGGCTCATAATTTAAATATTTCCTTAGATATTCCGTCGGAGGTTTATAGCTTGACTAGAAATCACGCAATAACGATTTGTAAAAATATATCACCCTGGCTTAAAGTTGTTATGAATAAAATGGTTAAAAGGTTCCATCTGATTAAAGTTGGGAAAAAAATATTTTTTTTAATATTAACGTCTACACCATAAAAAATGATATTTTTTCCCATATTGTATTGATTAATTTATGCCTAAAAGTGATGAATGGATGTCAAAATTGCAATATTTTATTCAATAAGACAATAAGTTACGTGCATATTTTAACCACTTTATCCTGATACTAAGCCATTTTACCATGGGTATGGGGTATAATGGCGAAAACGGCACACTTTACATAATTAATCATAACTCCTAAAGTATTATAGTCAAAAAAATATATAATTTACTAATCGTTTTATCTGGTGCCACCTATTTATTAAATATATTTTTAAATCGTCATATTTCCTAAACGAAGGGGAAAGTTAAGAGATTTGTATAAAATCTTAATTCGCAGCATCAATCAAACAAAAAATTATGTAAAGATTTATTGGACGATTATAGGGAGGAAGCCAGGGCCGAGAATGTGATGATATAAAAGTTGTATAGCAAAGCAAATTTTAATTGGGGAAAAAAATAAGGTAGTGGGTAAAAATGGCTTAGGAGACTGGATTATTCAAACCAAATTGAGGAGAAAATTGAAAATAATTCACTCTTTTTTATTGTCTTTTTTCTCATAATTATTTTATATTAAAAAAAACATTTTTTAATAATAATTAAAAATATTTTCAATCACCCAATCACACTTATTTAGATCGACATTTAAATTATTACATCGGAAGGTGAACATAAATGGATATTTAAAATTAATTTAAATGACAATATTCACCGTGTATTATATAAAGCCTACCCCATCCCCCGGCCTTCCAAGATTTAGACTATAAAATGGAAAATAGGGGATCGATATGGTATCAGAATAAAATGAAAGAAATTACAGTTACCACTACTAACCAGCCTTTCGGGTTCTATCAACCAAATAATTTTGTCAAAATCATCTTAAATACAAACAAACCTCTGTTTTTATCGAAAAATTAGCCTCTTAGAAATTAGTATTTTAAAAGTTACACATTTTTATTATCTATGGATATATTCAAGATTCATGAATTAAAGTTATCACTATTAGACTGTTTATTTGCCACTTGAGGGTAAGCAAGTCGACATAAATATATACTAATAAATTTTTCTTAAGTCGATAAAAACATTACAAAATTTTTATAAATTAAATTATGCTATTGTATTGTATTATGAAAGTTAAGGTATTTTTATACTTCAGAAATCGAAATAGCAAACCTATTTCAAAACAACTTACAAATTTTTATCAAAAATTTTAATTTTTTACATAATTATAACTACCATTTGTCATTAATAAGAGAATGATAATTAGTAAACAGGGGGGAGGGGGGTATAAAATATATATAAGAACGAATAAATTTGCGCTAAATTTTTATAATTATTTTTTGTAAAAATGAAATTACTAAATCTATTCGTTGGAATACAAGTAAAGAATTTTTATTTCCAAATATATACATTTTTTAAAAAAATATTAAGGTAGAAAAATTCAAATCAATAAATTTATTTATATATAAAATAAAAAAAAATAGGTTTTCTTACTCGGCTACGGAATTCTTCTATCCATTTTTAACAGCTTCATTCCTTACTACGATGCCGCTGATGGAGAAGTAGCAGATGATAATGCAGAAGATTCGATGCTAATATTTCCTGGAGCTGAGGCATCGCCATTCGGGGGTCGTTACTACGGGAACAGATATAGGGGGTATGGAGGATATGGTGGAGGTTATAGAGGATACGGTGGTGGTTATGGAGGATATGGTGGTGGTTATGGAGGATATGGTGGTGGTTATGGAGGATATGGTGGTTATGGCGGCGGTTATGGAGGCTACGGTGGTTATGGAGGTTACGGTTATAGAAGACCCTACGGTGGCTATGGAGGTTACGGCTACAGAAGACCCTACGGTGGCTATGGAGGATATCGCCACCATGGGGGCTATTATCGCGGATAAATTGCACTTTTCCTTTACCACACCCCATTATACTAACTATTATGTCTGTCCATTTTTAGCATTTATTTTTTATTACTAACAAGATATGAATGATTATTGTTATACTAACAAAAAAAAACAGAATTACTATTGTTTATTATTTGATATAATTGTTGTTAAATAAAATATGAAGCATATAACCAATAATCGTGAAATATTGCCTAATTTAAAACTAGTTTAACATAAAGCATTGGGCAAAAAATTTTAAAAATAATTATAAAAATTAATATTGGACTCTTTATAAAAAGACGTATTGAGGTTAAAAAAAAAATTAAGCTCCTTCCAGATTTAAAATGAAAAAAAAATTTAAACTATACTTGGATTTTTTATTAGCTAGCTAGTATTTTGCAAATTCTCTTAATGTCTGCTCTGGATAAAACAATATAAATAATTTAAACTATCATATATAACATTATAATAATTTTCTAAGGAAAAAGAACAAAACAAACTGTTTTTTTTTCTTCAAAAATGTGAATAACCAAAAATTATTTACAAAAAAAAATGTATAATTTACAGGGATCCGAATCGTTATTTATAACGGTTCAGTATGTAAAAAATTATAATGATTAAGTTTTGGTTACCGTTATTAAGAAAAAATTAACAAAGGTTCGCTTCAGCTAATTATAAAGGTACATAATGATTCATTACGGTTAGAAATTTTTTTTTTATTGAAGCAACACCGTCGTCTGATTTATTTTTATTATAAGCATCTGAATTATTTATAAAAAAAAATATAAGATTCAAAATAACTCATTTTTAAATATATTATAGGTAATATATTTTCTAATATAAATGAATTCATATTTGTTTGTTGTGACGATAACACAAATTTTAGCCCCGAAAAGGCCCTTTCTACAGAAACTTGTGTTGCGGGAACCATCAGTACTATAAGAGCAAGTTTATATAATTTCTGGATATTCAAATTTTTTTTGATTCCTAAAATATAAAAACTGAACCGGCTTTAACCTTTTTTTTATAAAGGTTCTTTTTACTCCTTCAAAAAATAATTATATAGGTTCGGTTACGATTCTGATATTTATAACGGTTTATAATGGTTTAACGGTTCGTTATGCTTCACTCCAGGTCTCTGATAATTTAGCTCCCCGACCTATAGTTTTGGAAATAGTCAACTCATTACTTATTTATAAAGTAATTTCGCCCTTCCATTAATAGGCTGCGTATAGTTTTCTAATTGCAGGTTACTACGGCAAATATTTCCAAGTGATAATTTTTTTTAAATTAGGCTCCCATTTCAGGATCTAAGCGAATAATTTTAGGGGGAAAATGAAAAAACTTTATTGTGTTATAATTTTTCTTTTAAAACAAAGTTTTTCATTTCTCTAATTTATAATCGATTGCTATTTCTTTGTATAAAGTAAAAAGCCTCCATTTGTATTTTCGGTCTTCGATGTAATTCGATGCTTTAGATTTTTGAAGAAATCATAGAGTTACGAAGTGCAAAAGCAAGTTAGCCTTGTGACTATTATTGGAATTAATAAATGGTTGGACTTGGAAGGTAAGACAAATAATATTTGGAAGATTGACTGCGTTCTGCGTAAGACAAGATAACATCATGTTTTTTTAGGTTAGAGGGTGCGAGTGGATCTCCACAGCAAAAATCCCAGGTTTTGAATTTACCACTCTTTCATGGAATCTTGGATGATCCATACAAATATCTATCATCTGAGTTGCATAATCCAGTAGCTCAAGTGTTGAAGGAAATGAGTTTTTTTTTTTTTTAAATATCAATTTATAAATTTACTTTTTGGGTATTTTAAAATTTGGTTATAATTTTTTTTAACAGAGTTTCTATAGTCTCTATTTATAAAAATGTGATATCTGTATCCAGATACAATTTTATAAAAGAGTATCTATAACTGGATACTTATAAAAGAGTATCTACACCTAGATACTATTTTAGAGATATCGGTATCTAATTTTAGACATTTCGATACAATTTTAAACCTTTTTTATAAAATAATAATATATACATTTTTTTTTGAAGTATATAACTATACCCCAATCATAAACTAAAATACAATAAGAAGGAATTGGGGTTACAAGTCACCCCCCCCCCCCCCCCCAAAAAAAAACAAAACAACAACACGAATTATCTTAATTTAAAATATGAACATTTTGTTCTATAAATTAGAAATTTATTGGGCTCTTATTTTACCGCTTAATATTTTGAAAGAAATTTTAAAGTTCCACTTGACAAAGGGAAGAGATAATAGTTGGTTTAAAGAAAAACTTAATTTAGTTATCTAGAATATTATTTTTTTCCCTCGGCTATAGTAACCGGGTTAGAATTTACATTTAATTTGGAAATGAGTAGCCGCATGTGAAATCTCAAATTAAGGATTTGACTAAAGACTAAGGTATAGAAGTTAAACCACCTAGCCTTTGGCCATTATCGATGGTAAATTAGCAGGCTCTAGAATATTTTCTGTTCAGGTCCTCGTAAGAGAACGTCTAATAACTGAATTAATATCTCTGCTGCCTTGACTATATAAATAAGAACCGTGTCTCCCCTCAAACAACCGATATTTTACATTTTCTGCATGTATTTGGTTGAACAATGTTACATACAATTCGGTTACCTATGGCAACACTTAATTGTTCATAAAAGGTGCCTAGATTACGACTAAATAATGTTTCTAACCATTCTAGTACAGTCAGTGATTTGTAAAAGTTGAATATCATTCCCAAAGCGAGGTTTGATAAGGGTATTTCAAAAGAAATCCCTGCTTAAAAATGGCTAATACGTACCCCGCCGAAACCCGACTCAGGTAGGTCTCCACATTCAATTGAGCATGTTTCTGCGAAACAATTTTAGACATACTTGAGGAATCTTATTAATATACATTTATGGTTTAAATTTTAAATACCAATATGTGAGTTTTAAAATTATTTGATAAGGAAACGCCTGCCCCAGGATAACTTTAGCCCTTGGCTCCCCTATAGTTTAGGCAAAAGTATGATTATAATTAAATTCTAATAGTAAAGACATTCAAGTTAATCTTTTGCTTTATCAGTGATTTAGTTTAAAATAATTTATTAATCACATTATTGTAAATTGACTAGGAAAACATGTCTATTGTAAAACTTCTTAAAAGGCCCTTTCACAAGTCAGGGATGAAAATTTTGCACATTCATTATAAGATTCTTTATCACCAAAGACTTATTATAGGCCATTCATGTTTTGCATTTTTGATTTCTTATTGGTACTTCATTTTGTACCAAGATGCTATCTAACAGCTTTAGATCAGGAGATCTTTTCATTTCAAATTTGTAGAAGTTTTTATAGCATTATTATGAATTGATGTGTAGGTTATAAAAGAAACGAGACCTGGGAGCTTCAATCCTTTTTCAATGCGGATAAGATAATTAATATTTTTGAAAACATTTAATTCAAAATTTTTGAATTAAATTAAGTTGTTATTTCAAGCATTTTAAATTTGTGCAAAGCGATACTAAAATGTATTAACGGTTTGTGTTTGTTTACAACACTTAGATGTTTGTGATTTCCTGGATTTTTTAAAAAAGTTTTTCGAATTAATGCTATATTTACCTATTTGGTTCAATAAATAGAATTTGTTAGTCAAACGTGAAAGTTTCATATTTCTATAGAATAAATAAAAAAAGTCATTATATATATAGGAAGAATTAAAAAGTTAAAAATAAAAAATAAAATAGACATATAGGACAATTTAATATGTCAAATTTTAATCAAGATATTAATTTTTATAATAAAAAATATATATATATTCGCAAAAACTTGATTTTTTTAATTAGATAATCATATTTTTTTCAGAAAAAAAATGAAGAAAAAAATTGATTCAAAGTTAACATTCCTGTCCAAAGTGAGCAAGACGGATAAATTTTTTGGAGTATTATGGGTAGCATTTTACCTGTTTAAAGTTATCGAACAAAACTATAATTTTGATTCCAATTCTTATTCGAAACTGTCAGCCCAGGTTTTCCATTCAAATTTTAAATGGTCGCCCAATAATGAAGGTATATATTTTTATAAGAAAATATAATATTATCAGTTTAAAATTGGAACTAAATGAGTTCCATCTTTATAAATGCAAAATGGAAAAAAAAATAGCTATATAATTATGCCAGAGGAATGAAGAAAAAATATTTTATAAAATTAATAGCAAAAATCTTAACTCATCCCACCCCCCTTCCGGCGAAAAATAAAATGATTCCTCCACATAAGTGGCCTCTATATCCGCGAAAAACTTGGGGCGCCCCTTGCGTGTCACGCCTCTGATAACAAGTTTAAGCTGATATTGGATAGGGAGGTAAAGCAAATATTTCCCAAAAAGGTGGTAGGTTTATAGTGCCTACAGTTCGATTTATAAAAAAAATTCCTAAGATTGTAAAAATTTTAAGAAACATAAATTCATGGGTGTGGCATTTAGAAGGTTTTTCTAATATTTCCAACATCCATCCCTTTTAAACTTATAAACACCCCTCTAAATTCCAGTTAGTGGGACTGTAATGGGAAGAGAAGGGAGGGGGTTTTTAAAAAATTCCCTTATAATTTATTTCGCTAATATAAGCTTAGGGTCTTCAATAAAGTAATCATTTTTTTTACCATTTATTAAAAGTGAACTGTTCAAACAAATTCGGAAGAAAACCGCAGCAAAATTGTATCATAAATATACTTAGACCTGGAGGGGCCAACCAAATCAGGCAAGTTGGTTTGACTTCACCAAGCCTTTTCTATAGCTTAAGTTAAATATAAATAAATTTAATTATATTAAATCGTTTACTAATCATTAAAAAATTTTTAGATAATAAACTTCCATACTAGTTAATATTATACATACAATAATTCCAGAATAATCCCATTAAAAAATTATTATCAATATTCCATACATTGACAATCTCTGTAGGTTTGATCAATAAGATTTTGGGGATTTAACTAAAAATATAGGCTATTTAACTATACTAACTATTAGCATACACCTTACAGATTAGTTACCGACATTCTAACTACTATTAAGAGTAAACGCCCAAACCAATGACATATATAATACCTAGACTGACGATTCATTCATTAAAAGTGTACATTAATGCAAATCAGCTGGAGGCGCCAACTTGGTTACGCTAGTCATTATTAAAATTTTGAACGAGAGCCTAATTTATTCCTATATCCAACGCAAACTTTATTAAAGAATTACCGGATCATCGAGATAATAAGGATGCAAGCTATCAATTTAATAGTAGTTTTTAACATGAAAATAATTACTGTATGTGTTGTTACCAAAATGGAGGGCCCAGCTGATTTGCTTTTAACGACGCTTAAATATGCATTTTAATGAATGAATCGTCAGTGTATTATACCTATATTTAACCTGAAGTTTGAAAAAATAAATTTGATTTCATTTTGAGATTTTTTTTTTGATGCATGAAGATTTCAAAAGATTTTTTTAGGCGGTGTCCAAAACTATTTAAATTTTTTTTCTTTAAAGATTTCAAAACTTTTGCAAATTTTAATTTAAATCGTATGTTAAATTTTTGAAATTGATAAAATTTTTTTATAGAATTATATTTTGGGCATGTTTTTATTTTTACATTTAAAAATAGCTTATTTATTTATTTTCATTTAAAGTTTTGAAAATTTTTTGATTTAAATTTTTTTTTGATATTTTAGACACAGCCTTAAAAAAAGAAGAAAATAAAACTTTTTTCTTCAAAAAATTTTTACTTTTGATCAAAACAATTTTTGAACATTAACTCTGATTATAAACCTCATTTGCCCAAAGGACAGGCCATGTTAAATTGAGTTCTCGGCAAATACTGCAGATTAAAATCGTTGTTACCCAACCTCATAGGATTGTCATCTTAAGTTTATATTATATTCTTTCCTAAATAATGCATCATTTTTTAAAACATATGATTTATTATTTTACCAACTAGATCTTAACAGACTTAGTACGGCGACCCAAGTGATGACAATAACTAAAAACCTGGTCGCAGAAATTTGCAATGTACAAATCACTTTCGTATTAGCCTTCGGACAATTCAGTTATCTAAAAAAAAACTTTTAAATCAGAAAATATATGAAATGAATAGGAAATTATATACTAAAAGTAAAAGTGTGTATTTGAGAATGTTCCATATACTTCTCTTACAATTCTGAGCAAATGGTAAGGCCCGTTATGAGTGTTTTTTTATAGTCTTCGCTTGCTAAATTTTTTATTGTTTCAGCGGATTATTAAATCATAAATCAATTATTCACGCAAAAATCTTACTGGCAAAAAAAACTGAAATATATTTTACTTCGATTTTACACGATATATAAAATTCTTTGAAGTTTAACGATCATTTTAAAATAAAATTTAAGGTCATTCAATGACATATAATAATTCCTAAACTGACGATTCACTCATTAAAAGTTTACATCAATGCAAATCAGCTGGAGACGCCATCTTGGTTACACTAATCATTATTAAAATTTTATACGAGTCTAATTTATTCCTATATCTGATGCAAACTTTATTAAAGAATTACCAGATCATCGAGATAATAAGGAAGCAAGTTATCAATTTAATAGTTTTTAACATGAGAATAATTACTATGTGTTACGAAAATGGCGGGTCCAGCTGATTTTCTTTTAACGATAATAATGCATTTTAATGAATCATCAGTCTAGGTATTATATATGTCATTGATCAAAATCAATATAAAATTTGCCAATAACCTGCCATTTTGATTTCTCTTTTAAATATATATTAAAATTTTACAAAAAATAATTAATTAATTTTCCTCTATATATAAAATATTTTTATATTGAAAACCAAAATAATCATGTCACCAACTGATTTGTATTCAATCAAAGGACCCTTCAGAATGCTTTTAATAAATGAGAGGTTATTCTAGGTAAAGTATTGTCATTGGTTAGGGGGTTTATTTAATATAAAATGGACAATCATAGGTAAGATTATATGTAAAATTATATATATCAAGTTATCATTTTAGTGTTACATTTTTCTATCTTAAAACGCATGTGACAGATGTTTTGTGAAACACTTGGAAAATTCAAAAAAAATGTCTTGTAATATTCTTAGTTTTAAAAAATAGCAAATTATCACTTAAACTTTATATTTAAAAATGCCAAAAAATAAATATCAAAAGTATTCAGGTATAATAACATGACGTTGAATACTGGGCCAGGAGGAAACTCCTCTATAATAGTAACAGGTGTCAATATAACGAAAATACAGACGCCTGTCCTTGATTTCTATAGTTACAAGGGTTGGCAATTTTTAATAACAAACATCGCTACCGGTCCAATCGCTCCAATCAACGTGGGGGTAATATTAAAATACTATTTCTTTTATTTTCTTCTCTCCATTTTTATTTATATAATTTATTTTTTTTAAAATAAGACATCGGGTGTTTCTGGACAAGTATACTATACATTCAACTTCATAACGTAAAAGAAAATTGGAAAATTATGCTATTCGATTACATTGTACATAAAAAAAATTTCCTTCTGATTTTTTTCGATAAAGATTTTAATATAAATATATCGAAGTAAAATATTACAATTCAACAATAAAACAAAAATTCATCATCATTTTCTAGTTTATTCGATGCGTAGTATTTGCAGAATCGGTTTCGTCGATGTCAATTCCATCGTAAGTTGTCTTATGTGATTTGGGAAAATGCAGCCATTGAATCAACCTAAAATTTCTTTTACCTTTTTATTTTTGGGGAAAAAATATATATTTAAAGGGTTAGCAAAAATCATAATTATTTTATAAAAAAAATCGATTTAGATTTAAATCGCGATTTTTTTTTTATTTAAAAAAAAATGTTTTCGAGTAATCACTTATTTCTTCCCTAAATATAAATGGTTAAGGGAATAAACTCGATTCTGGTTAGACTAATGAAAAATGGGCATAATTGTTTTACAGGAAACCCAAAGTCAGGGTAACATCACAGCAACTTTCAATCACTTCATTTTTACTGTCTGGAGTTGGTCTGGCATTGGATTTCTGATAAACAAAAGAGCTCCATTGAAATTTGTACCAATCTCCGAAAGATGAAGCTTATATGTTAACACAAATTTTGCTTAGGAAGTATAATATAATTTTGATGGGTGAATTAAATACCACGAGTGGATTTGAGGAAATCTATAAAAGAAGTAACTTTATCGGTAATACAGCCTTGCACAACCTGAAAGAGATGACAGTAGAAAAATATTTGATGTATGTGGTAGCAATACAAAATTGAAAACACCTTTTTCTCTCATAGAGAAAAAAATACTTTCACCTTCAGAAGAGGGAATCATAAATCACATATTGATTTTTTCATATAAAGATGTAATGGCTATGATGAATATCAATTTATCCGACAATAGAATGATCAAAGCCAAGATCATAGTTAGGAATTTATTGGGGCCTCAATGTTAAATACACCCCTAATCAACCGGCAAACATGCTTAGAAGACCATATATCAACAATTTACAAATAGAGATTAGAGAGCTATTTGACCATAGACTATATGAAAAGGTAATAGGTTTTGAAAACATATCCCGATTCAAAACAGTTGAAGAATGCTGGGCGATTTCTAAGAGAGACATTCACGAAGCAAGTAAGGTTCTAAATAACACAATCATCTCGTAAGAAATGAATGGATATCAACGACGACTATGCTTAAAATATAGGAGCTCCGTTTAAGGGGTCACTTTTATAGGAACCTTGAAAACTATTCAAAATTCACTAAAGAGTGAGAGAAGAATATTCACGGTTGTACGAGATTGATGCAGATATGAGAGGTAATATGCCTTTTGACGCTTTTGGTAAACTAAAGTATTTCTTTAAGTCTAAAATCTTTTCCTTCCATTCGATTGGAGAACAATAAAGTTATAATTGATCAGGACGATCAGATGGCACTTTGGATAGATCATTACCTGAATATTTTTGAATCAAGGAAACCAGCGAGGATACTATATGAGCAACAATATACTTCTCAATCTACCACCCAATTTTCATTATCTGAAATCTCTACTGCTCTGTAGAAACTTAAGAATCACAAAGCTCCCGCCCCGGATAATATCACTAGAGAACATCTAAAAGCGACATCAAACGCTGTACCACGCTTCCTGCTAATCATCTTAATTAAAATCTGGTCTTCAAGGATGACTACAAAGGACTAGAACTATCTACTCTTTGCAATTTCCCAAAAACCTCCAAAATTCTCCTTTGAGTTTGCACATGAGCCCCATTAGATTATACTAACATGAGTTTATATAAAGATGCAGGTGAAGTAATAAGGAATTTTATTTGGTTTAATTTAAAGATATAAATATTTGTTTAAGAGGGAAAAAAAACCAAAGATGATACATATATCAAAAGATAATTGAATAGAATATTTATTACAGCAATTTTCAGCCAGTCTAATATATAACCATAAAAGGTATCCTAAGAAAGATGTCTTCCGGAACATAAGACATAAATATGAGATATTGATTATTGAAGTATAAATAGGTTAAAAACTACTAGATAATTAAATACTAATAAAGAATATTATCATTTTCCAGTTTAGTAAGTATATCAACTTAAAACAATTTAGGACAAGGAGAGGTAAAGAAAATGATGGCCAAGGAACATAAATAACGTATAACTTCCGCTGGTCTAATGTGAAGAGAAGAAAAACAAACCTTGAGACAGTAAACCCTAAATAGAATAATGGAAAGACGAATTAACGGATAGGAGGATAACCAATCTGTCGAAACATTAAGGAAATCAAAAACAACCACAAAGAAAGTTTTATTGGAAATAAAAATAATCAAATCAAGGAATATAAGTGACTAGTTAATTAAGAAGATGCAATAAACGTTGGATCCCTTTGGGAAAGCCCATCAAAAACCATTAAAAGGGAGTTACCTGTAGGACTAATTGCACTTAAAACCTATAAGTTAGAGAGATAGTGGAGGCCCCCCGAGAAAATTTATAAAACAATAACGAATGGAAAATAAAGAAAATACAATTATATTAAGAAAAGTAGAAAAACTAAAACAGTAGAAAGATATATTCACCTCTATTCCGGAGTGTTCGCTCGGATCCGAGGTATTTAGGTTAAAGCAGCGATATTAAATTAAAAGTTATAATAGGGAAGAATGTAATTTAAAGGAAGTATAATTCAGTTTGCGTATAAAAAATAACAAAAAGCTCCAAGATCTTACTATATAAGAGAAATTGGGGAAAGAATTAATAATAATAGGGGAGAAAAACTGGGTGAGATTTTATATATATATATATGTAATAAACCTATCTTCAAAACGGTGATAGATTTGGTGTCAGAAATCTCGTAAACCATAGAATCGCGACAGAAAGGCTGATCAAAACTTTCCAAGTTAAGTCCATTGATTTTGATAGCTTTGTTGGCCCATTTATCGAGCATATCATCTTAACATTATTTTTTTCCCCCCAATAAATATTATTATCTCCTCTTAAAATGTTATATATAAAAAAAATATACATTAACACACTTCGAAGGACGAGGCGATTGTGTAATGTTATTTGAAAGATATTTAAATTTTATTAAATTAATTAAAAAAATATTATATTTACAAACAAGATTATAAATGATACTATACAATGAAATGTCTAAAAAATAAGACTAACACTAAGCCGATTTTAAAATGACTCCTCTCATTTTATTCGAATTAGACTCTAGGCGCCAGCCGAGTCAAACGACAACAGAGATGCATAGCTACCACAAGTGTCGTTAAACGACTCGATTTAGTTGATTAAGATTCGCCAAAATAAAGTTGTACAAGCCTTACGATCTAAATATCCAGGCTACCTTAATAATTTTTTTGGGCTAGGATATTAAACGTTTGTAGAAAAAAACCTGATCTCTTACCAATAGATGCTATGGGAAAAAAATTGCATATGCGTTCATTTTTCTTATAAATGAATATGAATACCAAATATTTGATAGGAAAATTCGGTATTATGTCGAGAGTTCTTATTAATTTATAAACTTTCGTTTTTGAATATCTCTGGCCGTATGCAGCATCTCAACAGGTGACCGATTGTTAAAGATTTCAATTCATGGTCCGTTAATTGCATGACTCTTTTGCCCTCTCCTTCGTTATTGAGTGGTGAATGTTGACATTTATTCCCCGATTGAGTATTGTAAGGTTCTACGTGACGATCTCGGTTCCCACCAGCCGTAATTCGGATAGATAAATCAATCCCGAGAGTTTTTAAGACGGTAGAAACGGTAACCTTTCCGGTGTCGCTCGATCTTAATTCCGAAATATTTTGGGTGGCATCGAGCGCGTTTTCGTCTTCGATACCATTTTTTTTGTCGCGCACGCCGTCCTCTAACCAAAATGAGCTATCTTTTAAATTATCGCGTAATAAAATGAAAGTTATTATTTAACCTCGTATTTTTATCGATTGATATGATACATCACATCAAAATAATGCTTAATAAGAGGGGACACTAGCTTACCCGGGTAAACCTGGAAATCGCTATTAAATGGAGAATAAGAAGAAACATCTTACAAATTTTTTTTTTAATTTTAATCAATTAGTTTAGGTTTAAATAAAAGAAAATTAAAACATATGACTTTTGTGTTTTCTATTAATCATGGGTTTTTCATACTATTGGGTTTCCGTAATAAAGTGTTAATTAATTATAAAGCAGATAGTTAGGTCCGTGAGATCGTCCTGAATCCGTAGTAATAATTAAAGTTCCATGAAATATAGGTAGGGGGTTGGTTTTATCCCTATTTATATAAGATAAAACGAACACAACTCCTCTTTTCAAAAACGTTTCTTTTTTTCCACTTTGAGCCAATTTTATGTCAATTTATATTCGCTCCTTTTATTTCCTTACAAAAAGGGAATAAATGTAATATTGAATATAGTTAAATTTCCTAAGCGTAATTTTTTATTTGTAATTAATAAATGTTTTAATTTTCAGGTTTAATAAAAGTTTTACAAATCAATCGTTTTAAGTAAAAATAAATTGGATTTTAAACTTACATTTATTTCATACAATTGTGGTTTATTAAAAGTAAAATTGTGTTGATCATGACACTCACTAGATCTCAAGGATTAGGGATCCTCGAGCGACTGTATTCTTAAATAACACTCAGACAACTGTATCTGAAGCCCCGCTAACCTACGGTCTTATGTTCGAGTATCAAGGCCGCCAATTGTATTAGCGGGGTTTAAGATATAGATACAATTGTCTGAGTGTCATTTACGGGTATAGTCGTCTTAAGAATCCTAATTAAAGTTGCGGGGATTCGGATACAGATACGGTTGTCTGTCATTTAAGGATACAGTCAGGACGATCTCAGAGACCTAACTATCTACTTTATAATTAATGAATACCTTATTAAGGAATCCAAAAAGTATAAAAAACTCATGCATAAAAAGAAAACACACGAGCTGTATACGTTTTAATTTTTGCGTATTTAAACCTTAACAACAGAGGGAAGTAAATATTCTAATTTTCAAGTAAACAAAGGAGGTAAAAAAATACTATTCCTATAATAAAATAGTCAAATTAATCAACCATATTTAACAGATATGTTGACCATCATACTAAAACTAAAGGTTTGTGGTTCATGCCTTCAAAAATTTTTTTTATAAAATAAGTCCTGGCTGTTATATTCTTCCTAATTGGCGGGAATTCCGATTCCAAATTCCAATTTAAAATGTGGCAAATTAATAATTAATCAAAATATTATATGTGTCGCCTAATCGATGTTTTAGGCTGTTTTAAACTCCCTACCAATGATGTTATCTATTTTACTCTATTGGCGAATTCATTTATTAAATTCATACGAAAGTGTCCATACGTAGGAGTCAGCTGTAGCGCCATCTTGTGGTTTGTACGTCAATTAAATGACATTAATGTGGGATTCATATAATATTAAATAAGACAATTAGTAGACTTACAAGCCACAAAATGGCGCTACAGCTGACTCCTATGTATTGTATACTTTTAATTTATGAATCGTCAATCTTATAGTATATATATACATCACTGCTCCCAACTTGAAAGTACATCATCATTCGAAGTTTGTAAAAGAAAATCCTCCATTTTTTTGTATCCGAAACGTTTTTAAAAAAAACCTCAAAATTTATAAATTTTCGCAAATTAATAAAAATTATAAAACATGTCCGAAATCTTCTATTATTTTTTTTTACAAAAAAAACCAAAAAAAACGAGAATAAAATACGAAAAATAACATACTTTCCTAGACTGACGATGTATTCATTAAAAGTGTACATCAATACAGCTGGAAAGGCCATTTTTGTTACCCAATATAATTATAGAAATTTTAAACGAGAGGCCAATTTATTCCTATATTTGACGGAAACTTTATTAATAGAATTGCCTGATCATCGAGTTAATAAGGAAACAAGTTATCAATTTAATAGTAGTTTTTAACGTGAGAATAATTACTATATGGGTTACAAAATGGCGGGTCCAGCTAATTTGCATTCAACGACGCTTTCTATGAATGCACGTCAGTCTAGGTATTATTATATGTCATTGGTTTTTTTCACAAAAATTACCCAAATAACTAAATTATGAACAAATTTTTATTTCAAATTTATTAATTCATATTATTTTTTAAGAAAAATAAATTTTTGTAAATGACGGAAAATGATTTACGTGATACGTGATATATAGCGCTTTTGCCCTCTAGCGTTGAAGATTCAACAGAGCTACGCTAGGTTTTCCTCATTTCCATCTAATTGGAACAATTTAATTTGGGTATAAAAGTAAAAATATGAGGAGCCCTCCACACGTTTGTGGGCAAGCCGCACGTACTTGTAGGCACAACATTTTGAAAAATGTTGCTTAAACCTCTATAGGCTTTAATTTAAAAGGAGTGGGACAAAGAAAAAGCCTATACCCGAGAACTACAGTATAATTTAATTACTTTAAAGGTGGGTGATGGCTGATTTTAAACTTAATTTCTTTAGTGTAAGTTATAATTACTATCAATATTGAGATATAATGTTCATAGAATCTGTAAATAAATATGATTAAAATAAAATAATATTTACCGTTCTATCACTTCTATTTTATTTTTACATTAAAAAAATCATAAGATTATGTTAATTTTTTTCTTTCTTCAAAATTTATTTATTCATATTTCTTTAAGATTTTGAACATAGACTTACAAAAGAAAGACACATGTTTTTTCTAAAAAGGGCAAAATTACTAAAATCTTTCTGTTATATTTTAATTATTTTCCGTAATTATAATGTAAACTACAATATTACTTTTTTTATTTATATTTTTTTGATAATTTAATTTCAAAAAATACATTTCTATTCTGCCGATTTTAGTATTGAAATCGCCAAGGATAATCAGGTTGTATCTTTTGGGTAAAGAATCGATAGTGTTATTTAACTCATCAAAAAAAATTCTTTCTCTTAAGGTTGGGGGCGAAGGCTGTATTAATGTATAGGGCTGCCATTCTTTCCGAAATAGGGATAAACTTCATGATATATTGGCAAATATTATTTTTAATTAAAAATGCAACGCCGGACCATTTATTTATAGTAGTTCCAGAACTTAACTGTTGCATTTTTGCATTACAAAAAAAATGCATTATTCAAATTGTAAACAAAAATAATGTTTTATTAAAATTATTAAGTTATTATTTAGATCCCCGTCTATGTAAATGAGAAAAAAACGCGTGATAATTGTAGAATTTTTCATACTTTAAGAGTTTTAACAAGTGGGATGATGAATTTTTTATTTTTTCCTTGGAAGACTTTTTTTATAATTTTTACTTTTATTTTTATAGATTAATTTTATTTTTTCTTTTAATTTGATTATGTTTTTCACTTTGTAATTGATTATAGTTATTTATTTAATAAAAATTAATAATCATATTTAGTGTATATATTTATTTATTTTATATATTTAGGTTCTAATCTCCCAATCCAAAAACCCCATTGTGACATTAACAATGTAAAATCTTTGTAGACAGCTTTTAAATCGTTGCACATATGAGTTTCTTGTAGAGCGATTATGTCCATTTTCTCATTAGAGAGTAATTTAGTAAGGATAGAAATTTTATTATAGAGACCATTTATGTTATAAGTGGGTATATATAGATGTCCCTTAATTTAGAACACGAGAGAAATATTATAGGGTCTGGTATAGCAAAAACAATTAGAGAGAAGAAAACATAATAAATAAATCAATAATGTGAACAAGTCTAGAATTTTAAAATAAAACTGTTCGCATTAACATTACGTTAAATGGGAGGAGCATTATTAAAAATTGTGTAAAAGTGAAAGAAATTTCGGAAACGAGTGCTAAATGTAGTTATGGATAATTAGTTATAGATAAATTGCCATTTAAGTGTGCTAAATATAGTTACGGATAATTAATTACAGATAAATTGTCATTTAAGTATAAAATAAAATACAAAAGATAAAGAAATACGTTAGAGATCTGCAAAGTTAGGGCCTAATTCTATTTTAAATAATAGGCGGGCCGGGCCTAATATTTGAAAAAAAATTCGGGCCGGGTCGGGTCGGACCTTGGAAATTTTTATATATCTAAATTTATCAATTTTATATTTAATTTTTTATGTAAAATAAAAATATTTTATTTTATTCATTGAAACTAAACGACATATAACATATGTCTTTTATTTTTGAGTAATTATAAAAATTAATTTATATATTTAAACAAATTCGGGCCGGGCCGGATGGGTAAATTTTTTTAAAAAAAATTTCGGGCCGGGCTTGAAAAATTAGGCCCGATGCAGATCACTAATACATGTTCCCAAAAATGTAGGAGAACATTAAGTTAAAATGTGTAAGGTTAACAAGAGAGAAAAAAATTTCTAAAATATAAATATCGCGTTGTATGAAATAAGAAAGTTACTTTAGGAAAATCGGCTAGTAATGAAGATCAAGCCATAGAAAATGTTAAACAACAAGATATAAGTTATTGTTACAAGAAATTAATTAGATAATTATTGCTAATATATTTTAATAAAATTTAAATATGGAAGAAAAGTTAGAATTAATGCAAAAATTTCCTTCCAAATCAGTGTACTCGCTTGAAAGTTAGGTCTGACGTGATAAGGAAAAAAATTTTTTTTTAAAAAATTACAAACTACTACAAGTATATTATAGATAAGGAAATAACCACTCGCGTATTATCAATTTAAGTTAGAAAAATTTTTTGAAAAAGAATTACTAAAGTAAAAATCACAATGAAAAATAACAAATTGATTATTTATTAAAACTAAAAACATGATGAATGAAAAGTAATATCGAGAAAAAAAACTAGGTGGAATTTCTCAAAAGAAAGGAAAGACTATAAGAAACAAAACTATAATAA